AGAGGTGATTTTGCCCTAATTTAACATTCCAAAGATTTGAGGCATAAGACTTGCGGGGCAGCGACTCTGGAATGGCAGCTCTGGCTCCATTTTAAAGTGGCTCCGTCTATTATTATTATTATTTTTTGCAAGACTACCTCAAAGATTTTCCTCTTATTTACATTGGCTGCCTGTGGGGCCCCTCAGGTGATTCCAATGTAAACCAGGGTGGAGAAGTACTGTGTCAGAAGATCTTTAAGCTCCCTTCCTGCTCCAAAATTAGTTTTTTCTAATAATAGAGTTTCATTTTTGTTTCATTCAAATAGTTAAATTTAAACATTTGCCAGTTGTTTGAATTTATTTTTATATTTTCATTATTTAACTCTCAGGAAGGATATTCAAGTCAAAATGCAAAAGTGCCTCCTGTTACAATACTTATTTGTAAAACAAAAAATCTAAGCAAAGAAGAAACTTTAAAAAATAAGCCTGTGAGCAGAATTCAAAATTATGTGTAGATAAGGGGCAATAAATTTCCAAGTTAATTAAACCTAGACTTTTAAGAAAAGATGAAAGCAAAACTGCACAGCCAGGAAATATAAAAATTACAATAGATCCCTGAGGAAACGCAGGCAGGAAAAATTAAGGACATTTTTATATAGAGTTGGTGTCAGGAAACGTAAGGAAAAAGAATGGAAAAAAAGAGATTAAACCAATGGTATAACAAATGAAGAGATGGTGCAGGTGACCTGGGAGAGAAGCTGAGTTAAAGGCATGAATTATGAAGGAAGGCGCTGCCCTGAGAAAAAGAAGCTCAACCTCTTCACTGGAGTTAGAGGGAGCAGCAAACGGTCCAAGCCTTAGGGGTTGAGGGAGAGACCATCACAACTTCATCATCAACTAGGTCATTCAAGAACAATTTATGTCAAAATAACCATTATAGATGTACTTAAGGAACATACAATACATATGAGGCTCACGGGACTCACTACCAATTCACATTTAAAAAAAGATCAGAAAGCCCTAGCCAGTTTGGCTCAGTGGATTGAGTGTTGGCCTGTGGACTGAAGGGTCCCAGGTTCAATTCTGGTCAAGGGCACATGCCTGGTTGCAGGCTCGGTCCCCAGTAAGGGGCGTGCAGGAGGCAGCCGATCAATGATTCTCTCTCACCATTGATGTTTCTGTCTGTCTCCCTCTCCCTTCCTCTTTGAAATCAATAGGCTCAGAGCAGGCATTTCACAAACCAATAGCATACAGGATAATATCTCTTAGTAAGACAAAATATTTTTTTAAATGTTTTTAAAAAAGATCAGAAATATTATTTTTAAGAAAAGGTAGCCCACGGAAGCCACCTTTCCCTTATATTACTTGACATTCAAGAGCCTTTTAACACAACATAGTTAATATACCAGAGCAGCATATATTTGGGATGGCAATATTCCGGAGCAGCATATATTTGGGTGGTTTATAGAAACCACCTTCTCCTTATATTACTTGACATTTTAGAACATTTTAGGTTTTGATGTCTAGTTGTTAATGTTCCACATTCTTCTTCTAAAAATGAGGTTCCCATGGCCATTGTGCAGAACATTTTTAAGACAAAGGAAAACACACTCCCTGAGAGACCTCCCATCCCAGCACCTTGATATAAATATCAATAATATTTTTGGCATATATATTTACACTTTTTCATATGAACTTTGTATGAATTTGCAACCTTAACTTTAGATGTGCAAAAGTGGAAGGCAAAATTTGGGCCCTCATGATCTGCACGCCCTGGTGTTAGGTCTATGACTGTGTTACTTTACACAACGAAAGGGAATTAAGGTTGCAGATGGAATTAGGTTGCTAAGCAGTTAACAAAATAGGGAGATTATACTGGGCTACTTGGGTGGAAATGGAAGTAGAAAAGGAAGTCAGAGAGATGTGACTGTTAGGAAGAGGCAGGAGAGATTCGAAACATGAGGGGGCTCAACCTGCCACTACTGGTTTTGATGATGTAGCATGGGGATCATGAGCCAGAAGGAGTTTAGAATATGCTACCCCAAATATATGTTGCTCTGGCATATTGATTATTTTGTCTTTAAGGCTCTTGAAAAACAGCAAATATAAGAAAAATACTTAGATTTTTCTTTAAAAGCAGGAGATGAAATACCTATATGAAAGATGTCCTCCCTATACCGTAAGAATACATTCTAATCATTAAGGACAGGAAGTTGAGATAAAGAGAATTCTATATAAACAGACCTTGTTAAAATAATTATCTTCCTTAAGCCTGCCCACATAGCTGAGTCACCTTTTCACAATTGCCTCTCTTTGTTCTAATATAAAAGTGAATTGGTTTCACAATTTCTTTGGGTCTTTGTGCCTCATGAAAGCTCCTAAGTCATGAAAAGCTTGTTAAATAAATGTGTATGCTTTTCTTCTGTTGATTTGTATTATGTCAATTTAATTCTCTGACCCAGCCAAAAGGAACCCTAAGAGGTTTTGTAGGGAGCAGCTATAGGGTCAAGCCCCGGATTGACCTGTGGCAGGGCCACAAACAAGTCCCAGCTTGGGGGGCAGAGCCCTCCTAGCATAATTAAGCTTGACCTTATAGTCCTCCCTTGTTCTTTCCTAGGTAGCTAATGGGCTGTGGGAGGTGCAGCAGGTGCTGCCAAAACAAGCTGAAACTCGCAAGAACACTGTAAACATGTTGACCACTTCCCTTGTTTTGCTTTGTGTGCTCTGACTATAAAATAAAGCTTTGGCTTACAGCAGGGGTCCTCAAACTTTTTAAACCGGGGGCCAGTTCACTGTCCCTCAGACTGTTGGAGGGCCGGACTATAGTTAAAAAAAAAAAACTATGAACAAGTTCCTATGCACACTGCACATATCTTATTTTGAAGTAAAAAAACAAAACGGGAACAAATACAATATTTGTATTTGCATGTGGCCCGTGGGCTGTAGTTTGAGGACCTCTGGCTTACAGGCTGGGTCTCTCTGTGTCCTCATCCAGGCACAAGTGATCCACCTTCCTAGCCCCAACTGTATTCTCTTACTCTGTCTTCTTTAATCCTTCACCACCCCTCCTCAGGTTCACCCCTGGCCAAGCTGGATGCGGTTCAAGGTTTAATAAAGATAACGGTTTGCCTTCCCTACAAGTACCCTCTGGGAACAGCCCTCTGTTGATAGCCAGCAAGTAAATAACAACCACATTCCTGTACTGATAAATTGGTTGTATCCCTTAAAGGACTTTTGCTTCCCATCTTGGAATCTTGGCATTTCCCAGAGGTTGGGTCACTGATGGTCTTTATTCTTATACCAGGGTCTGTCTCAGGCTAGTAACCTCACATAAAGTAGCAGTCAGCTGGGTGGGTAATACATTTCCCCAGGCTTTTAAAGTTAGGTTTCATAAAACTGGATATTGGGTGAATTTCTTGCTTTCCATACAGGGAAAAAACTCTTTTTTCTCTCTCTCCCAATTTGGTTCTTTGATTCTGATCAACCTCTGGGAAATAGGTTATACAGAAACAAGGATGGAGCAAGGGAGCACTTATGATCCTACGGTAAAATCCTAGGCAAGAGATGATGGGACTTGAACCAGCACAGAAGTGATAAATGGTTGCATTTTGAATACTTTCAAGGGTAGAACCAGTGATTTGACATGGGGTGTTAAGTCAAATATAAGTAGGTTTGTCAGGACTCACCTGCCTTCACATACCTCATAATTGGGAGTCCAAAGGGACCATACTAGTAAATGACTTAAGGGAACATTTCACATCTTGAAACTAGAAATGAGAGTGTAAAGGTTATCACACGTGAGAATTTGATTTTAGTAGTTAAAGACTTGGTTCTCCAACCTAAATCTACAGCCAATATTTATTTATTTATTTTTATTTATCTCCTTTTCTACGGTCTTTGTGTTTTGATTATCTTCCAATTCCAGCTGGCATAAGTGCCAGTTCTTTCCCCTATCCTGCATCCATCACCCGCGCATGGTTCAGCCTTTTCTTATCCCTCCCTTTCAGTAGTAGTCCAAAAGAAATGATGGCTGCTGTTTGCAGGGGAAGAGAATACAAGATAGTTGAAAACAGCCCTCTATTCTATTCATAAACTTGACTTTACATTACTGAAAACCGAACAGTGAAATAAAACACTTTAAGAAATACAATATTTGCTCTATTACTGTTAGTGGTAAATCTACTTTATTGGTGGAAGTAACGTAAAGTATTAATAAGTTAAAAGAAGCAGTATCATTTTGGGCAAGTAGAAATTCCGCTTTCGTTGTAAGGCGGACTTCATTTTGGCTTTTAAAAAACTGCGGGCTCTACTGCTGTTATCCAGGAGCTGTAAAAACTTGAACAAGGTAGTTTTCTTTCTCTGGCTCCCCCACACACACACACTCCCCGCTCCGTCCCGCCCCCCTCCCCCCCCCCCCCTAAAATCTCAACCTTCCTATTGCCTCCTGATCTTAGGGGCCTTGGAAAACTCAAAACCTCATTTAACAAAATCTTGGTGTCTTACTGTACGCTTGATACCGGGAGAAATACCAAGTACAAGATACAGGACACAGGTCCCTGCCTTTCTAGAGCAAGAAGTTTGCATGAATCAGGCAAGAGTGAATCCAATTTTCAGTCAGTGCAACATCTCCTGGCGTGGCCTTTAGCTATCACATGCATCAGCTGCTGCAACTGCTGTGAACACTCACCCAGCAAATTCTTCAAGGGCCATGCTAAGGCGGAAAACGCTGAATTCCATCTTATTTTCGCTTTTAAAGAAGTGAAATTAAGGACGGTTCACTGGGTTTTGCTACCTGCGGCGTTTTCAGAGGGCATTCCTTTACCTGCCCCAGCGATGCAAAGCTAACCTCACACTTCCCCAGGACAAGCCACACTTCCCAGTCTGGTTCTAGGTGAAAGGTCGCACTGGACATTGACCAATGGGCTCGTTCCTTCTCCGCTGAGGGGCGGGACCATGGGGCGTAAACTTCGGAGGCCCGTCCCCGGACGTGGCGTGCGTGCGTGGCGGCGCGCGGCGCGAGCCTGGTTCGCTGGCGTGTGGCGCCCCCTGGCGGCAGCGGGGACTCAGTGTGAACAGCCGGAGCTGCGTCCCCGCCATGGACCCGCAGAAAGAGGCGCGAACACCCCGGGAACTGGTCACGCGGCCGCCGGCCTCGCGGTCTCAGACGCCGAAGGAGGAGGAGCGGCGGGAGAGCGGCGAGGCGCCGGCGGCGGCCCTGGGCGAGGAGGCGGACGACAGTGCGGACGGGCTGTGGGAGCTGCCGGTGGAGCCGGCTGAGCGGAGGCCCGAGTGCAGCCGGTGCAGGTGACGGGGAGCGGGGAGGTGGCGGGGGGGACGCGGGGCGGGGCGGCCTCCGGGGAGGCTGCGGGGCGCTCCCCGACGACCTAGGAGCGCTGGCTCAGGCATCGCAGCGCTTGGGGTGCGGGCCCGCTGGCTGACCTCGCAATCACGGAGCACACTTGTCACTGCTCGTTAGTAAGAAGCCGCTTATCTAGGTTTCGTGTTATGTAGCCTCACTCCCCGCAAGACCCGGAGCGCGTCACGTGATCAGCGGACTTCAGTTCTCCTGTCAAGAAACTTAAGAGTGATGGGAAAGAAAGGCTTAATGGCAGTAATCCTTGTCATTGTTAACACCGTTATGCATGAGCGACAGTCATCTCACAAATAAAAGCAAAACAAAATGCATTAGAGGACAGAAACCATCAAAAGTGGCTAGTAGAGGCGTTGAAGAGTGTATTCAGAATTCTAAATTCCCTCAGAAATATTTACTGAGCACCCACTGTGTGCCAGGCACCCTGTTAGGTCCTGGGGATGCAGGCATTTATGGATAAAACAGGCGTGGTCTCTCACAGTCCGAGGGCGAGATTCTGGACTGAACGCGCAGCACCGCCACCAGCTCACATTATTGAATGCTCACAACGCGCGCAGTTGTTTGGGTGCTTGTCAGGAGGGTTGTGAGGATGGCTTTCCCTACTTGTTCGAACGTTTTGCTGTGGAGATACACGATTCTCTTCCCGTCCTGGGTGTTCTGGATCATTTTCCTTGGTTACCGAAGGTCTCCATCTATCAGCTAGCTCCCTGGTGCCCTCCGCAATGTAACTGTTAGGTGGAGCCCCTGCGTCCTCACCTTGGAATCACACTGCACTTAGTCCCCAGACGCATACTTTCCTGAGTTGGCTCTCACGAAAGCCACCAGATGCAGGAGGTGAAATCCAACGGATCCTTTTCTGTTCAATTCTTACTAGACTTTTTGGCAGCATTCTGCTGTTGAATACTCACTTCTTTTTAAAAAAAAAAATATTTTATTGATTATTTACAGAGAGAAAGGGAGAGAGATAGAGAGTTAGAAACATTGATGAGAGAGAAACATCAATCAGCTGCCTCCTGGACACTCCCTACTGGGGATGTGCCCGCAACCAAGGTACATGCCCTTGACTGGAACTGAACCCGGGACCCTTCAGCCTGCAGGCCGACGCTCTATCCACTGAGCCAAACCAGTTAGGGCTCACTTCTTTTTTTATATATGTATAATTATTACTTTTTATTTATTTATTTGTTTATTTATTTAAATATATCTTTATTGATTTTAGAGAGGAAGGGAGAGGGATAGAGAGATAGAAACATCAATGATGAGAGAGAATCATTGATCGGCCACCTCCTGCATGCCCCCCCACTGGGGATCAAGCCTGCAACCCAGGCATGTGCCCTTGGCCAGAATCGAACCTGGGACCCTTCAGTCCGCAGGCCAACGCTCCATCCACTGAGCCAAACCGGCTAGGGCTCACTTTTTATTTTTTAAAAGTGGTACAGCCGCTTTATTTTTATTTATTTTAAATCCTCACCTGAAGATATTTTTCCATTGATTTTTAGAGAGAGTGGAAGAGAGAATAAAAGACAGAGAGCAATATTGATATGAGAGAAACACATTGATTGGTTGCCTCCTGCCCACACCCGGACCAGGGCCCAGGCCCAGGAGGAGCCTGCAACCAAGGTACATGCCCTTGACTGGAATAGAACCCCGAACCCTTTAGTCCGCAGGCCAATGCTTTATCCACTGAGTCAAACCAACGAGGCCCGGGCAATACTCACTTCTTGAAACACTTTCTGTGGCCTCCCTTTAGTTTATCTGACTTCTTTGCCCTAGTCTTCTTATTCTGCTTTAACTCTAAATGTTGCACTTCAGGTCATGGTTCTAAATTCTCTTCCAATGCCACACGCTTCCCACAAGTGATGTTACCAGTTTTCATGGGTAAGTTATCGCCTCTAACTCCAATATCTCTAGCCCAGCGATTTTCAACTTTTTTGATCTCATAGCACACGTAAACTAATTACTAGAATTCTGCAGCACACCAAAAAAGATTTTATATATTTTGCTCATCTGAAAAAAAAATAGGTATAATTTTGATTCATTCACACTGGGCAGCTATTGTGTGAGCTGTTGTCATTTTTTAAATTTAACATCTCAGGGAAAAGAGCTCAGTGCCCCTGACTAAAGAGTCAGATGTTGCATGTTTTAAAAATTCTTGTGGCACACCGGTTGAAAATTGTTGCTCCAGCCCAGTGGTCAGCAAACTGCGGCTTGCGAGCCACATGCGGCCCTTTGGCCCCTTGAGTGTGGCGCTTCCACAAAATACCGACTTCTGCGCATGGGCCACGAAGTTTCAATCGCACTGTACATGCGCGCCCACACGTGGTATTTTGTGGAAGATCCACACTCAAGGGGCCAAAGAGCCGCATGTGGCTTGCAAGCCGCAGTTTGCCGACGACTGCTCTAGCCCATACACTTCTCCTGCGTACCGGACCTATGCATTTCTTTAACCATTGTTTATTGAGTGCTCTGCTGATCACTGGTAATAAATACAGTGGAGTCAGTGTCCACATGGACTGTTCAGTCTGGTATTGGATACAGATAGTAAACCAGTAAACAAGAAACCAAATATGTAATTACAGTTTTGAAAAAACACCCAGCAATGAAGAAAAGGAATAGATTGCTATGATAAAAATAGAAGGGGGGGTGGTGTCAGGAAAGATTTCTGAGGAGATAGCATTTATATTGAAATTTGAAAGATGGGAAGGATTCAGCCAGGAGAAAAGCATTCCCAGGAGACTAGGACAGACCCGCTGAAGATCTGTACCACTTGAGTGCTTGGGGTATCTTACTGGGGACATTTTACAAGGGCTGGATTGTAAGACCTCAGAAGAAGGGATCTGGAGTGTAAGGAACTTTTTATATTTTCTAAGTGTACTATGTATAGTAGAACCTTAATAGACTTTTGAGAAGGATGGATAATTTGTGTCTAGAAGGCACCATTTATATGAATAGAAGGGGCGTTGAATATAATTTATTTAAATAAGCTGTCTAAGGGTGTTAGATGATAAGACTTAAAAATGATGAAAGAAAAGTGTTTCAAATATAAATCCAGGGCCAAAGTATCATGTGAGCTTTATTATATAGTTTTCAGTCTATTTAAAACTGCTAATTATAAGTGTTGTATATACTTTTAAAAAGTAGTCTCCTCTGTTTAGCAAAGGGTTATAACTTTTCTGATCTGCTTCTGCCCTTTAATAGACTTTACTTTAAAAATAAAGATTTTTTATTGATTTTTAGAGAGAGAGAGCGAGCAAGGGAGAAGGAGAGAGAGAGAGAGAAACATCTTTGTGAGAGCAAGACATTGATTTGCTGTGTCCTGCTGCTCCCTACCAGGGATCAAGTCTGCAGCCCAGGCATGTGCCCTGCCTGGGAATCAAACGGTCAATTTTTTGGTGCACAGGATGGCCCAACCAACCTAGCCATATCATCCAGGGCAACAGACTTTACTTTTTAAAGAGCACTTTCAGATTTACAGCAAAATTGAAGTGGAAGGTATGGAGATGTCCCATATAATCCTTGCTCCTACCAATCCATGAATAATTTCCTTCATTATCAGCATTCCCCACTAGAGTGGCACATTTTTACTGTTCATGAACTACATTGACACATCAGTATCACTCAAAGTTTATAGTTTACATTAGGTTAATTCTTGGTGTTGTGCATATTTTAAGTTTGGACAACTTTTAATAACATATATCCACTAGTATAGTATCAGAGAGAGTATTTTCATACCCTAAAAATCCCCTTTGCTCTGCATTTCCATCTTTCATACCCCCTAATCTGATCTGCTTTTGAAAAATAAAAATGACTTGCTGGATTTTAGCTTGTTTTCAGTTACATTTTGTTAATATTTTAGGGTTATGATTCATGCCAATTTTTTCTGCATGTAGCTTTTTCTAGTAAATTTTTCTACCTTTTAAAAGCTCTTCTCCCTGTTGGCATGCTATGCATTTTGTTTAATTGTTTAGAATACAATTCTAGAAATATGAAGACTATTAGGCAGCGGTTCTCAACCTTCCTAATGCCGCGACCCTTTAATACGCCAGGCACTTGTATGTGGGCGTATCTGCATGTGGGCGGACCCGCCTGGAGACATATAGAGGAGCAGTGTCTCAGTTCATAAGACCATCAAAAATATGTCTTTTCCGATGGTCTTAGGCGACCCCTGTGAAAGGGTCGTTCGACCCACCAAAGGGGTCGCGACCCACAGGTTGAGAACCGCTGCTATTAGGTGTTACCAATACAATATAAACTAATTGATGGCTCTTTATATTTTATAATATTAGGCTGTTAGGGTCTTATTATAATGTTTTCTGTGTGAACATTTATGCTTAAAATAGTTTTAAAAACGAAAAATCATTCTTATATTTGAGTGATCACTAAATCACAATTTTTTGGCCATTTATTTAAAATAGTATTTATTTCTCTAAACACATAACTAGCCTCCATGTATTTGAATGTTTTTGGGTGTTTCTATTGTAGTTGATTTCTAATTTCATTCCACTGTAATCTGAGAAGATGCTTGATATGATTTCAGTTTTCTTGAACTTGTAAAGACTTTTTTTGTGTCCTAACATGTGGCCTATCTTTGTGAATGATTTATGTGCACTTGAAAAGAATGTATATTCTTCAGCTTTGGGGTGAAATGTTCTATAAATGTCAGTTAAATCCATCTGATCCAGTGTGTCCTTTAGAGTCACTGTTTCCTTGTTAAGTTTTTGTCTGGAAGATCTATCGAGTGAAGTCAGTGGGGTGTTAAAGTCTCCTACTATGTCTGTCTCTCTCAAAGTCCTCTAGAAGTTTTTTGTTTTTTTAATATATTTACATTGGGTTCATATATGTTTACCAGGGTTATATCCTCTTATTGGATCGATCCCTTTAGTATTATGTGTAGTGACCTTTGTTGTCTCTTGTGATGGCCTTCATTTTGAAG